GCAGTTTCCTAATGTTGTTAGTGGTGGCACTGACAACAAGTTCTTCTTTATACCCGGTACATGATAAACATTATGTAGTGACACTATATCAGATTTATTGCCAGGCATGATTGTCCTATTGCCGATCTAAGCAATTGAAAACTGTGCGTTATTTGCTGTGCATAGCATATGGCTTCCTTTGTACCCTTTCTTGTCTTGCAATTTACTCTGATCGCCAGTCATATGGTTTGAGCATCCTGTATCAACGATCCAGTCATTCTCATAATTAATATGGTCTCTCATCGTCACCATGAGTGCTAGCTCGCCTTCTTCTATGGCATATAGTACCTCTGTATTCCATTCCTCCTCCATCTTCATGTTGGAGGATGCCACATTATTTTCGACAGATTTTTTCTTGGACCAACAGTCGTTAGACATGTGACCTTTCTTCCCGCGATTATAGCAATTACCTTCAAATCTCTTTCCTTGAGAACTCTTGTTGTCATTCTTCTGAGCTATCTTAGGTTGTGCAATTCCTTGATGACTTCTTCTTTTGTCACCATTTTTGTATCGACGTTTGGTAGATGACTTATTATTTCCTTGACTTTCACTCGTGTAGAGTGTTCTTCTTCACCCTTTAATGTGATGCCTCCCATTTGTTTAGCTATGGCTTCATGGCTGGCTAACAAATTTTCAAACTCTGCTAGTGATACTTGAGTGGGTCATCCTTGCACAGCAATAATGAAGCTTCTATATTCTTATCGCAACCTGTGGATAATGATCCTCTACATTCGATCTTCTCCAATTGCAGACTTCGGTTCTAGTTTATTAATCTCTCGGCAAATCATCTTGACTTTGTGGAAGTACTAAGCAATCGTCATATCAAGTTGTGAAAATGACAATATCTAGTTCTCAAGAAGTTGTAGCCTCGTATCGTTCTTCTTGGAGAACAACATCACTAGCATGTCACACGCTTCTTTCGGTGTCTTCTCATCCCAAATATGTTCTAACATCTCTTCTTCGATTGGTCTTCAAGACAAACATTTCTTTGCCTGCTTTGATTCTCTATTTGCGCAAGGCGTCGTTAGAATCCTCTACTGGCGGCATATTTCACTCCCGCCAATGATCTCCCAAAGATTCTGTCCTTGTAAATGGGCCATCATGCATGCTTCCCATGTATTATAGTAGTTTTTGTTGAGTTTCTTGATTCCTCCTACGATTTGGAAGTCACCCATCGTGTTGACAATACCTCAATAATACCAAACAAGCCTTTTCGACACAAGATTTGAGTCACTGACTACTCATGACACAAAGAAACTCACTCATTAATAATTTCAAAAAATCATTTCAGAAGTAGAAAATCAGACAGAGCTGTAGCCACAGAGCATACTAAGAATTCTAAGAGATCAGACAACCTATACTAACCTCGCTCTGATACCAGATTGTTGAACACAACTCTTTATGGGAAACACTCGCACTCTATATTAAAACCTATCGAGAAGAGAATACAAGACAGTTGAACACAACTCTTTGTGGGAAACACTCGCACTCTTTATTAAGACCAATCGAGAAGAGAATACAAGACACTTTGTAGAATACTACTACTTTATATTGCTTGTGATTTCTTGGGATGAAAAACTAGGTAGGGTCGAGGGGTATTTATACTATACTCTACGCAATCTAAACCTAACAAATGTAAATCTTTTTCCTAAAATATCGAGATCTCTTTCCTAAAATCTCATCTAAAATAAATATACAATGGGCTCCTACAATTATTGGGCTTGACGCTATTGGGCTAGTGATGATATTTTAACACCGCACACCATTTACCTGTAACCAACGTCAAATACGTGTTGATCAACATGAAGAAGAGAAGTTGATGCAACTACTCATGGGGCTCAATGAGTCTTATAAAACAATGAGATCTAACATATTGATTTTGACTCCATTACCTAATGTGAGGCAAAGCCTATTCATTACTTGTACAAGAAGAAATGCAGCGTCTGTTAACTTTTGAACCTATTGAGAATTTCTCGATTGCATCAGCAATGCAGAAGAAAACAACATATTTAAAATTTGCCAAAGACAAATCATGTTAACACTGCAATAAAAGTGGTCATACAATTGTTGAGTGTCGAATCCTTAAGCTTCATGGTAAATGTTGTGATAGAAGGGGACATAAAAAAGTTCTATGTAGACAAAATAATTCTGGAAGGGCAGTACAAGTCAATCAACGCAACAATCGTGGATATCGATCATCTGCAAAGATGGCCGATGTTTCTCTATTGAATACAGAAGAACATTCACCTAATTCTATCCTAAATTTTTCTTCTAAGCAATTACAACAAATAACACAAGCCTTATCTGCACTCAATCATCGTCCTTCTCGTAATTCTGACAATAACATCAATGTTGCTGGTTTGTTTCCAGTATTTGCATTATCTATTAACTCTAAAAGTTCTAATCCATGGATTCTCGATAGTGGAGCTACGGATCATATAGTATCCCTTCTATTATGACTGAACCAAAGGCTTCCACCATATCTATAATAAATTTGCCTAATGGAGGGACAGCACATGTGTCACATACTGACAATGTTTCCTTTAATTCTGACCTTAAATTAAACATCGTTTTATGTGTGACTTCATTCAATTTAACCTAATGTTCATCAGCAAACTTACCAATGACTTGAAATGTTATGTCGCCTCTATCCTGATTTTTGTGTTATGCAGGACTTGGCTACGGGGAGGATGATTGGCTCGTGTAAACAATTCGAAGTCTCTATCATATTTCACAATCTCCAATCAAATCTTCAGCTCACCAAGTATCTCAATCATCTGATTTGTGGCATTTATGCCTAGGTCATTCTTCTTTTTCTCGTTTTAAATTTCTAGCAGAGCAATTGCATCTTAATAATGCTATTTTTTCTCATAACTGTAGTATTTTCCCATTAGCAAAACAAACTAGGTTGTCTTTTCCAAGAAGCTCAATAACAGCCCATTTTGCCTTTGATATGTTACATTGTGATGTTTGGAGACCACTTAAATTTCAACATTGCGTTTTTTTTCTCACTATTGTTGATGATTTTACACGATGTACTTGGGTTTTTCTTATGCAACATAAATCAGAAGTACATCATTTGTTAATGAACATTTTTAAATTCGTTCAAACTCAATTTCATACTACTTTCGAGATAGTTAGATCACATAATGGGACTAAGTTCCTATCTGCAACCATTTTTTAATTCACGTGGCATTGAATTTCAGCGACTTGTGTCTATACTTTACAACAAAATGTTGTCGTAGAACGCAAGAATCGGCATATCCTAAATGTAACTAGGTCTCTTCTCTTTCAGTCACAGGTTCCGCTTAATTTTTGGGGAGAGTGCATTTTAACTACGTTTATCTTATAAATAAAACACCATCAACATTGTTATCTAACAAGACACCCTTTGATGCACTCTACAAAGGACCACCTACATTTCACCATCTTAAAGTTTTTGGTTGTAAGTGTTATGAAACTGTAGTACACCCTAAGCAAAAATTTGAAACTCGGACAATTCCTTGTGTTTTCGTAGGATATCCTTGTGGTAACAAAGGTTACAAATTGTTTGACATGCAATCTAAAAAATTCTTTATCAGTCGTGATGTTAAATTTTGTGAAGATGATTTTCCTTCTTCATCAGCTTCACAAACTTTAACATTAGCTCTTTTAACTCCCATTTTACCACTTCATGATTCATCCTACTCAAACATCCATATTAGTCCTCCCCCACATTTTATTCCTTCACTTACTACTTTGTCGTCTCCTCCGCCTTCGATTCCTTTTCAAGATTCACCCACTAATTTTGATCTTATCATATCTGATACATTAGTTCCACTCCGATGTTCTACTCATATAAAACAATCTTCAGCTTGTCATAATGATTATGAGATGTCTTCTGGAGCCAATCATTTAACCTCTAGCTCAAGTCCCAACACTAGCACCAGGTATCCCCTTCATGATTACTATAAGACCCGAGCCTCAATGGAAAGTTTAAAATCTAATTTTTCCTTTTATGTTGAACTTCTAATATTTTTTTGAGGGTCTTAGAGACCAAATTTGGAGATGAGGTAGCAGACAAATATACTTGGAAATAATAGAAGAACTTAGGAAAAATATTAAAAAAATGATAGAAAATTAGAAATATGGTCAAAGTCAACTAGAGGGTAATTTGACCATTATACCCTCCCTTCTAGTAACATAGGATTAAAAGAAGAAAAAGAAAAATAAAGAGGAAAAGGAAGAGAAGGAAAAATGGCAGAAAAGAAAATAATAGAAATAGGGAGAGAGAAAATTCTAGAACGGGAAGGAAAGTTCTAGATAGAGAAGGAAAGCTCTAGAGAGAGAGAGTGAGGTAACCGCCGGCCACGAGGATTCCGATTCCGGCCGAGCCTTCTTCATAAAATCTTCACAGAATCAGGAAAGAACAATTCTCTCAAATCGTCCAAAACCGTCAAGGATCGAAGAAAAGATTGTTGATTGATTTGGATCGAAAAGAGGAGTTCCAACTTTCCATCAATGATGTGAGTATTGATATCTCTTGTCAACTTTGGACTGAGTTTATTACCAATGTGGTTAGAAATAAATTACAAGAAAAATAGCTATATGTAGATGAGTATGAGGTTTATAAATCTAGTGAAGGAATCATATTAATCCAAATTATAGAAAGAAATACGAAAATGCAAAGAAAATAGGAAATAATCGGTTTTCTAGAAAATTGCAGAGATGTGAGGAAGAAGACGAACGGCGAAGGGACAAGTGTCAGGAAAAGAGAGGGTCGCGCATCGCCGAAATGGTTGACACGTGTCCAGCGTGTATTGGCAAAGAAATTCAATGAAATACTTCGCGTCGGGCAGGATTCGAACGTCGGCAGTCACTACCCGAGTCTGCGACTGATGGCCTGCGCGCAACTTGGATCACAGACCCGGCTTCGCGTTGCCATGCGTCAGCGTAAAAGAATTCAGATTTCCAGCGCGTCCTTCCGATTTCGAACCGATGACCTCGACCTCGATTGACCGTTCAGCGGGCGCCACATGGCAATACCTCAACGCGCGTCTTCCCTCCCTCATGCGCGTTTGTACGCGCGCGTGGCCGTGCGCGTGTAACACCTTCCCAGGCACGTGAATGCGCGTGAGGTGCTGTTTTCAGCCCGTTCGACTTCTGTTTGCTCAATTTCCCTTTCGATTCCAACTCTGGCCCTATTTTTATATATAATAGGACTTCAATGAGAAAAATCAGTATTTGTGGACACGCTATTGGTATAGAAATGCTCAACGAAAAACACGCATCAATCAGGTAAGTCACCACATGGAACTTAAGGAAGAAATACTTGTAGGAGTCGCTTGGTTATGCATGCATGCTAGTTTAATTACCTTAGGTGGTAGCTTTCCATGATTGAATGTATGTAATTTGGTTGTTAAGAGTATGGATGTATTATATGAAGTATTTTGAGAATTATCTGAGTGTTGCAATTATGCTTTAAGCTTTCGCTTTATATGTATATGTTTAATTCATGCTGAAAGGAGGATGAGAACTTATGAACTCTGAGCTCCGGGACTTGATGGATATTATCGCCTCGTTGAGCATGTATGTTTACTTTGCATGAATTTTGTATGATGATGTTGGATGATAGATGTGTGCACACTCAGTTAATTCTCACTAACCCACAAGTTTGATAAAGTCTAGGGATTTGTGTTAGAGTGACAAGTCACTATGTATAAACTTAACCCTTTCCTAGGAGCCTACGAAACAACCACGACACACAAAGCTCCTCTAGAGTACCCTTAGGCTACTTGTGTGTGAATGGTGATATAGCTTCATGGGGGACCAGTGGGTTCCTGATCAAGACTCGACTGCTCGATAGTTGTTTTAGCATGGGAAAAGGGAGACCCACGTCGTAACTGACCATTTAGCTGGATGGGATACGGGAGGTAGCCCTCCCAAATACAGGGGGATTACCATGGGACTATGGGGTTACAGCTCACTTCCTAGGTAAGACACCGGGTAATCTCAAAGCCATGCCGAGGTAGCCACTCGAAGAGCACCAGTCAAACACAGGTTAGCATAAAGGAACTCTAGGGGTATAAATGAAAGGACGAAGACCAAAGAAGCCCCAAAGGGCAAGTTCCAAGGGGCAAGACCTAAAAAGCTAAGACCTGAACTAGATGTCCTACCGCTAAAGAAAAAACCGTGGAAGTTTGTCAAAATTTGGATGCGATAAGAGCCTACAAGTAGAAGGCTTACTGAGTATAATTTTTATACTCATTCCTTTTACCCTTTTTTTTCAGGTACCAGTCAAGGTGGAGGAGCGTTCGAGAGCTATGCGGTCATAGAGGGGGTCGTTTTGGAGCGTCAGTCCCTTGTCGTTCTATTGGAGTCTTTTGTATTTCATTTTACAAATCTTCTCTTCCTTTTGTTTTAATTGAATAGTATTTTTATCTTTTATTTTACTCTTATTTTCTTTCTTTTCTTTTTTTGTTTATTTTTTATTTCGTCTTTTGGGTCATGGTCCGAGTTTTTGACCTCGAACATCGGGTCATGACAATTACCTTTCATTCTCTCATTTTTCTCCTACTCAACGTGCTTTTCTAGCTCTTATTACAGCCCATACAAAACCTAAAACCTATGATGAGGTAGTTGGCGACCCATTATGGCAGCAGACTATGAATGATGAAATTGCATTCTCTCATTCCTCTACCACCTGGCCATAAAGCTATTGGCTGTCGTTGAGTGTACAAGATTAAACACAACTCTGATGGTTTTGTTGAATGTTATAAAGCTCGACTGGTAGTAAAGGGATACACTCAAGTTAAAGGTATTGATTACAAAGAAACATTTTCTCCTACAGCAAAACTTACTACACTTTGTTTGCTTACTCACTATTGTCCCTACTCGAAAATGGTTCACTCATCATTTGGATGTTCAAAATGTCTTTCTCCATGACAATGTAAACGAGGAAGTCTATATATCTTTACCACTAGGTATTCATCGGCACGGGGAGATTACAGTATGTCGGCTCCATAAATCTCTTTATACTTTAAAATAGGCTTCTTGTAGTTGGTTCTCCATATTCTCTACCACTATACAAAATGCAGGCTACGCTTAGTTCAAAGCAAATTACTCTTTATTTACTAATAGTAAAGGTACTTCTTTCATGGTAGCTTTTATTTATGTTGATGATATTCTGTTGACAGACAATAATCTCAAAGAAATTCAACATCTA